CTCCATTCTGAATGTGCTGACAACAGGGCATTAGACTGAAAACCACACCAAATGGACTGACATGTCCACTCTCCTTGACGGAGAAACCAGGCCCTGGGCCAGGCTGACCCAGGGGGCTGCCTCAGTTGGCTCTCGTTGAGCAGCCCTGCTGCTGTTTCCCTGAAGCCGGCTGTGAAGATGCCTCACAGACTTGTGGCATCTGGTGAATTTTCTCAGAACACACTTGTGGAAATGAGTGTGAGGCTCATAGTAGGAGAAGTGCTTCGATTTCAGGTCAGTTTTCCGTCTGATTGTGACTTCGTCACAGCTCCTCCCTCCCTCCCTTCCAACACTTTCACTCTGCTACCCAGACTGGAGTGCAAAGGTACAATCTCAGCTCACTGCAACCTCCGCCTCCCGGATTCAAGTGATTCTTGTGCCTCAGCTTCCCCATTAGTGGGGAACAGGCATGTGTCACCATGTCTGACTAAATTTTGCATTTTTAGTAGAGAAAGGGTCTTATCTTCTTGGTCAGGCTGGTCCTGAGCTCCTGACCTCAAGTGATCCGTCTTGACCTCCTAAAGTGCTGGGATTACAGGCGTGAGCCACCGCGCCCAGCCTCCTTGCTTTCTCTGTGCCAGATGCAGCTTGGACACGTTACCTGTGTTGGTTTCAGGTACTCCTCACAAAATGAAGAAGCTCCATTTTGCTGGTGAAGAGATTGAGGCTCAGATGGGAAACCTTTCTCCCACCCTCTGTGCCTGCAGACATAACAGGGGCTGTCCTTCCATAACTCCACACCGGAATATGCAGCACGGTTTGTCCTAGGAGCTAGATGGTACTTGTCAGGGCCTTTAGAACAAGAAATATGTCCACTAATCCTCAGAAGGGCTTTTCGTGGACTGCCTTTTAGAGCCTGTGGTTCAGTTGATTCGTGCATTTCCAGCGATGCAGCTGTGTCCCATTTTCAGTATCTCAGGGCTTATGGATTGATTTCAGCTTTGCCATCTCACGCTTGTCCATGCAGAACTGAGTCATTTCAGGACATGTGGCTTCAAATGACAGAAGCCCACTCCAACTTGCTTAAGCAAAGATAGGCATGATTGAGAGCAGACTGGGGCATTGTGTATACCCGAAGGCCATGGTGTGTGGCCAGGCTCCCCAACCAGGAACTGCAAAGCAGCAAATCTGTCTCTTCCTGTGAAGGGCTGTTTCCTCCATGCCCTTCTGCTTCCTTCATCTCTCCCTGCAGGACTGGCTTACTCCGTGCACATGGTTACCCTGCAGCTTTCAAATGTATTGCACCCAGTTCTACTAGTCAGTTCAGAAATAGATCACCCAAAGGTGATTGTCACCCAAGGCCACAGGACCTGCTTTGGGAATCAGTTCCCATGTATGAACCTTTCCCATGAAGAGCGGTCTTTAGGTTCACTGCTATATCCTGGAGCCTAGAGCTGTGCCTGACGTCTAACAGGTGCTGAGTAAGCATTCGTGGAAATGGATGGGTCCAGCTGGTTCCGCTGCACTCCCCAGGCAGTGGTCTACACTGCAATCACAGTCACGCTCCAGTCTTGTGCCTTAATCACCTGCTTCTGGCACCCCTTCACCAGAACTGCAACCAGTCAGAGGAAAGGGAAAATCAATATCGAGGTTAGGTGGATTACCAACTATGGGCCCAGCACTGTGGACAATGGAAAGGCAGCTTTGTCCTCAAGGATTTCAGTTAAACTCAAGATCAAAGCTGGCCAGGTGCGGTGGCTCATGCCTGTAATCCCAGCATTTTGGGAGGCCAAGGCAGGTGGATGACTTGACGTCAGGAGTTCGAGACCAGCCTGACCAACATGGTGAAACCCCATCTCTACTAAAAATACAAAATTAGCCGGGTGTGGTAGCACATGCCTGTAATCCCAGCTACTTGGGAGGGTGAGGCAGGAGAATCACTTGAACCCAGGAGGTGGAGGTTGCAGTGAGCCAAGATCATGTCACTGCACTCCAGCCTGGGCAACAAGAGCAAAACTCCATCTCAAGAAAAAACAAAAAACAAAGATTAACGCTAAAGAATGAAATTGACTGGGGACACCATCTCTCAGTACAGCTGGGCTTCCCAAGGACCAAGGACCAGAAAGTCACCAGGAGGCAGCAGTCTCTGAGGCTCATTTTTTATGGCTGCGTCTTTGAGCAGTTAGCTCCATTCTCTCTCTGCAGAGTGGCTTCTTCTGCTTCACTTGTCTGTGGCCCATCCTGACGGCCCCCAAACAGTCACCTAACCCCTGAGACCACATCACTCAGCTGAACTCTCTATCCCAAGCCTGGCTCCTGGGAAAGACTTGCCTAGCCAAACTGAGCTTCTGATTGATTCTCCCTGGGTATCCTGGGTACATACCTCAGATCCAATCAGCTGCGACCTGAGAGCATGGAGGTCACATGATCCCAAAAAGATGCTGAGATCTGTCCTTTTGAGTAGGGTGGGAGTGCCGAATGGGGCTTAAAAAAACCAGAATTCATTCATATTTCTTCTTGCTGCTCGCTGATAGCCCTGGGGCCATGTGGGCTGCTACTTCCATTTCCCCCATGTTTGTGCCTTTATATTTACTTTAGGAACAAAAATATGATTGAGAGGAAAGAAAAGAGCTAGAATCTTCTGGTTCTTGCCTTCTTAGCTTCTCCCTTTTTTCTTCTCCCTTCCTTTCTCCCTCCCTCCCTTTTCCTCCCTACCCCTTCCCTTCTCTCCCCTTTCTTCCCCTCCCCTCCCATCCTCATCCCTTCCTTCCCCTTCCCTCTCTTCCCTTCCCCTCCTTCATTTCCTTTCCCTTCCCTTCCTTCCTTCCTTTTCTCCCCCCCTTCCTTCCCCTTCTATGCATGTTCCTTCCTCTTTTTTCTCCTTCCTTTTTCTCCCTATCTTCTTTTCTAGTCCAAAGAGAGAGAGTCCTGAGGATGATAATACTAGCTCTGAACCAACAAGCAAACAGGACAAATGTGCTTTGGGGAATTTTGAGTGAAGGTGACCTCCTGCTTTGTCAGGTGGTTTTAACCCAATACTGCAGAGAATTTCCTTGCCTTGAGGCACTATTTAGGACTCCAAACCTGGGGTTAAAGTTTCCAGCTAACATTCTCTCTGCTTTCATTTTAGAAAGAGGCGAGCCTATGCTCTATATTGTGTATCACTACATATCCATTATAATATGAATAATTTTCTACTTGATCATTTCCAGGCATACAAGCAGGGTTCCTACATGCTATTTCCATTGCACTCCCATCTGTGGGAAGAGTCATGAACTGTTGAGGACAAAGCAGGGCCTCTAGTGAGTTGAAGATTGAGCCCTTTATTGGTTTCCTATGAACCCTCTAACAAATTGTTATGGTGACCAATAACAACAGAGATGTGTTCTCTCACAGTTCTGGAGGCCAGAAGCCCCAAATCATATTAACTGGTCTGAAATCAAGGTGTCAGCAGGGGGCTGCATCCTTCAGGGGCCCTAGGGGAGAATCTGTTCCTTGCTTCTTCCTGATTCCAGTGTCTGCTAGCATTCTTGGACTTGTAGATTCAACACTCTCATCTCTGCCTCTGGATCACATTGCCTCCTTCTCTTCTGTGGATATACTCTCTCCCTTTTGCTTGTGAGGACATTTGTGGTTGGCATTAAGGGCCCACCTGGCAAATCCAGGACAGTCCCATCATCTCCAATCCTTAATTTAATCATAGCTGCAAAAACTTTACAATATTCACTGGTTCCAGGGATTAGAGTCTGATACCTTTGGGGACCACCCATCAGCCCACCCAAGCCCCACAACTCCTTCTCCCCCATGGAGGGTCTAGACTAGGGAGACATCCCAAAAGGTGTCTACCAGGAGTCAGATTCAGAGCTCTTCCACAAAGTCATGTCTCAACTCATCTGGGTCCTTGCTCTTCTCTTTTGTTTCCCTCCCATTTATCCTCTGGTTGGGAAGAAGCACAGAGAGTAACAGGAAAGCAAGCCCAGCCCAGGGACATGAGACACAAAGAGCCATGAGTCAGCTCAGGAGTGGGCTGGGGAATGGACCAGGCCTCTGGGTGTCCCACGCCACGAAGCCAATCCCAACATCTCCCCTTTTAATAATGCATTGCATAAGGAAAGTGAAAGCTTGGAAATTTAGTTGCTGCTGCCAATCTTGAGATAAGGTGATCACTGCCTACCTGTCATCCCTTCCCTCTCCACCGGAGCTTGGTAGGAAACATCTGGGCCTGGGAATTTTCTTCCCACCAGGTTTGACACACCAGGTTTGACACCCCGCAGGCTGGCTCCATGCCCACCAATAGCAGGAAGGCTTCCTTTGGACTTGTTTTCCTGTACTCTCACTTCATGGTCAAGACCCTGACCTCATAGGTCTCCATTCCCCTCCTGTGTCCCATCTTCAACCTTGTGTGATCCCCGGGGCGTTTCTTATTCATTGCACTGCTTTTTTGGGCTGCACAGAGTCACTTTCCCCCTCCAGGGGGACATGCTAACCCACCTCCTACACTTACACAGCCTGTCAGTTCTGGGGGCAGAGGACAAGCTGCACTGAGCTCCCTCCTGGGCTAGTTCTCAGGAGAGGGAGATAAGAAGGATGCCTAGACAGGTAGAAAGCTGCTGTTTAAACAACCAGAACTTTCTTTTGGGCACATGGGTCAACAGGGACAACCTCTGAACGTGAGAAGTACAAGTCCTCATTCAGAGTTTGGAAAAGCTCTTCATACTGAGCTGTTAGGTGGGGTGTATAGGAACCTAGGTCTTGGAGCCAGGAAACCTGGGCTCAAACCCCAGCTCTACCGCTTACTGGCAGTGTGACACAGGGCACTTAACATTAACCTAAAACCTCTGTGAGCCAACCAAAAACGGCATTATTACCAGACTTGGGTCCAGACGAAATGGGATGATATGTGAAATGCTTAGCACAACACCTGGCATCAGTGTTCAGTACACATTAGCTATTATTATTGCTGCTTTTCCCTAAGAAAGTCAGTACTGGAAGAGCTGCTAAAGTAACTCAACACCCAAATGTACTACATATAAAATATTTTATTATAAAAAGCTCCGTCGTGTGGCATTTCAAAAAGAACAGAACATTTCCTACAGTTTTCCTTTTTTCGCGATTACACAGAAGAGACTAGTTAGGTGTACCAATTAAGACTATCACGTATCACGTGCCTAAGTTCATCAGGCCTTAAGCCCTCAATGAAAGACAGCACCAGGGGCTCTGCGAGGGCCGCCACCTGAGCCTCATCACTTAATTCATAAAACAGCCTGTGTCCTTCCTACAAAGCCAGGTCATATTTCCTACCTGCAGTTCAGGACTCCAGCGAAGACAGCAAACACAAAACTTGTTTTTTTTTTTTTTTTTTTAAACAAAACAACCACAGTCTAAACCAGCTGCTAGGAACCCTTTCCTAGCTGGAAAGGAGAATGTGACCTGCGATTCAGAGTTAAGAGGATTAGGAGATGCCTGTAGTGAGTGTGGTCCACGGATTCACCAGCTCCAAGGCAGCATCTCTTTCCAAGGCACCTGCAGCAGGAGGCAGTGTGGGACAACAAAGTCACTCCGGATACAGAGAATCCCCTCCCCCCATCCAAATGGCTCTGTGCACAGCTGGCCTCTCTGTTTCTCAACCGTGGCTCACGTGGCTTTGTTAGAGTCTTGGGGGCAAAAGGTGTGAGAGATGGGAGGGAGTGTGGCTCAAGTGGGGCCGTTCAGTCGGGTGGCCGGGTGTCGGGGGCCTTCTCCTGGACTTCATCATACTGCGGTGGAGGAGTCAAAGGCTCTATCGAGGGAGGAGGGACGTTTTTGTCTGGGAGGTTGATCCTAAAGTCTTTGAGGTGAAGCTTTTCGGATTTAATCCTACGAACTTTGAGCGGTTTCAGTCGTTTGGCTAACTTAGAGTTCTGCCTGTCAGGGGTGTTCCCATGGCTGGCCTCCACATCAGCCCTGGTGGTTGTGGGGGTGTTCTCATCGAGCCCCGTCAATGACTCATAGGATGGGAGAGAGATGCTCAGCCTCGGGTTCTGCTCCACTCCCCTTGCTTCTGAGTAGTTTGTATTCATCACTTCCTCGTAGCTGGGGACATAGTACCTTGAGGCAGCCTCCTCCTCCTCTTCTTCCTCCTGGCTGCGAGAAGACACACAGACAGGGAGAGTGTTAGCATGCACTCAAGTCATCCAAAATCCCAAAGAGATGGGCTCCAAAGAGTCCACACACAGCAGCCTTGTAAATAGCAAATGGGTCTTAGAGGCAATAAAAGCAAACATTCCAAGTGTTTACTATGAGCTGGGCTCTCTTCTAAGTACTTTAACACATAGGAACCAATTTCAGATTCCTAACAACACTATAAGTATTATTCACGCAGGACAGGTGAGTCCCCAAACCAGGGCTTAGCCTGGGAGGGTTCTTGGCTTCACCCAGGAAGAAATCCAAGGGTGAGCCAGTGACGTTAGACAATCATTCTTCACTGAAGGGCGGGCACTGCTCCTTGTGGATGAGGGCTAACTCATAGGCAGTACACCCAGAGTCGGCAACATAGGGGCTCTTGGAAATTGCATTTATATCTACTTATATCCACTTTCAATCACGTGCAGATTAAGGGGTGGGTTAATGCCAATTGAGGGGCAAGCTATTTAGAACTTTCTAGGAAAGGGGCGGTAACTTCTGGGTCATTACCATGGAAAGGGATGGTAACTGCCGGTTGTTGCCATGGCAGTTGTAAACTGTTGTGGCACTGGTGAGAGTGTCCCATGCTGATGAACAATGAGGGCAGCCGTGTTATCACCCTCATTGCTGTTTGCTGGTTTTGGCTAGTTTGTTCTAACCTTATCTCATCTGGACCACATCCTGTTTTGGTCAGCAGGGTTATGACCAGAAAACAAGTCCTGCCAGTTTCTCTCTCACTATTATTATATCCAATTTATAGATGGACTGGGATACATCAAGATTAAGTGACTTGGTCAGACCTTCAGAAATGGGAGGCCGGAACTGAACACATACTTTCTTTTTTTTTTTTTTTTTTTGAGATGGAGTTTCACTCATGTTACCCAGGCTAGAGTGCAATGGCGTGATCTCGGCTCACCGCAACCTCTGCCTCCTGGGTTCAGGCAATTCTCCTGCCTCAGCCTCCTGAGTAGCTGGGATTACAGGCACGCGCCACCATGCCCAGCTAATTTTTTGTAGTTTTAGTAGAGACGGGGTTTCACCATGTTGACCAGGATGGTCTCGATCTCTTGACCTCGTGATCCACCCGCCTCGGCCTCCCAAAGTGCTGGGATTACAGGCGTGAGCCACCGCGCCCGGCCCCTATGAACACATACTTTCAACTACTGCACCATGCTATCTGGGTGTTAAACTTCCTTTGCCTTGAGTCTGTCCCACTTAGCAACATGCCAGGTGAGCTATTCCATGCTCAGCTGGGTCCTCTGGCCAAAGGCAACACAAAAATGTAGGAAGTAGCTACCGACTTTCAGTAAAATGGTTGCCTCCAGGTAGAGGAAGAATATCTGAAATGTAACATTTATGTGTGTCTCAAATGATTCTGGAATTTTATCTTACAAGTTTACCCCAAGACTCAAAAAAATCAGGTCCTCTCAGCCTTATTCTTATTTGACTGTTGAAAGAGAAAACCAAAAAGTCGGGATGTTTTCTCCACATTTATAGGAATTAACGCCAACAGGCACTTTCCAGGGCCCTACACTTGAACCTGTGGGGTGATCATGGCCAACATCGGAAACCTCAACGTCTGCCTTGGTTCTCCTCCCACCCTCTTTTAGGAATGAGCTCAGTGTGCTCACAGCTAGGGTAGGGGATGATGAGTGATTGATATTCCTTCTTTGTTCTTTTCTGTATTTCTCAAGTTTTCTAGAATAAGCATGTGTAATGGTTAATTTTAGGTATTTTAGGTGTCAACCTGACTGGCCACGGTTGCCCAGATTAAACGCTGTGAGAGTGAGGATGTTTCTGGAAGATGTTAGCATTCAACTCAGTGGGCTCAGTAAGGCAGATTCCCCTCCTCACCATCCAACCCATGGAGGCCCTAGATAGACAGAAAGTCAGAGCAAGCGGGAATTTGACCCTTTTCTCCCTGCCTCACTGTGTGAGCTGGGCCATCCCATTTCATCCTCTCCTGCTCTCAGACTGGGATTTATAGATACCCCCACCTCCCTTGGTTCTCAGTCACGCCTTTGAACTCGGAACGAATTATACCTCTTGCTTTCCTGGGTCTGCAGCTTATAGATGGCAGATTGTGGGACTTTTTAGCTTCCACAATCACAGGAACCAATTCGTCATAATAAATCTCCATTAAAAAAAAATAAAAAATATATATATCCCACTGGTTCTGTTTCTCTGGAGAACCCTGACCAATATAGCATGCATTATCTTTTGTTATCTTTTGTATCAGAAAACGAGTTTAATTTGGAAATTGTATATACCCACTTACACCCACTTTTAATTACGTGCAAATTAAGGGGTGGGTTAATGCAAATTGAGGGGCAGGCTATTTAGAACTTTCTAGGAAAGGGACGGTAACTTCGGGGTCATTACCATGGAAAGGGATGGTAGCTGGTAACGCTGGTGTATACCCACCAGCAGTATTGCTGGATCATTTGGCAGCTCTATTTTGAGTTTTCTGAAGAACCTCTAAACTTCTCCATAGTGGTTACACTAATTTACATTCCCGCCATTAGTGTACCGGGTTTCCTTTAATCCGTATTAAATTAAGAACAATTCCCCTCCCACTAGAAAGATAAGAAATGCTTGTAGAAAATTCAAACAACACAGAAACATCTAATGAAGAAAAGAAAAACATCCCAAATCCTTTTACCTGGAGAATGACCACTGTAACATTCTGGTGTACACCTCTTCTGACCCTCCAATCCCACAGCCACAACATTTGATGGGACCAGAACCTGACCAGAGATGCCGTCTTACTCCCTTCCTCAGTGCTGTGGATATGGTCCCACATTAGCAAATACAGCTCAGCAGTGGCTGCAGAGAACTCCACTGAGTAGGTACATCTTCATTTCACTTCATTGATGGGTTTTTAGGCTGTTTCTAAGTTTTTGTTATCCTAAACAACGATCTGATAAATTTACTGGTACACACTCCTTTGCATTTGTGGGACTGTCTCCCAGGGATAAACTCTTATAAGTAGAATCAGTGCACACATCTTCAGTATTGCCCCTTACGGTGAAACTCCAGAAAGTGTATAGCAGTCAACGTTCCATCAGCCATCCATCTTCCCTACAACTCTCCAACAGTAGGGGCTGTCTATCTTGACCAATATGATGGGCAAAAAAAAACAAAAATAAAAAAAAAACACATCTTTTTGCTTGCATGTCATGATTAATGAAGTCGAACATCTATTGGCTGAACGACCAGGGAATATTTATAACCTTTGTCTGTTTCCTATTAGCATATTCATCCTACATATCCATTTGTAAGGGCTCTTTTTATAATAGGGGTATCAACTATTATCTTATGTTCCCCGTTATCACTTTTAAATTTGTTGGTGGCATTTTTGCATAAATGGAAACTTGCTTCCCAGCCATTTCAAATCAAAGCATATACACAGCATGCTGGGGTGAAGGGACAGGCACTGAGTGTGAAGGTGCTGGCCACCCCAGGCCCTGCTCAGTGGCCCTGGGCAGGTCAAAATGTTGGTTCACTTAAGAGTAATGGACTCCAGCTCCACCCAAGTTGCTGCAAAAGACAGTTTTTTTTTTTTTTGAGGCAGAGTCTTGCTCTGGCGCCCAGGCTGGAGTGCAGTGGTGCTATCTCGGCTCAGTGCAATCTCTATGCCTGGCGATTTTTGTATTTTTAGTACAGATGGGGTTTCGTCATGTTGGCCAAGCTGGTCTCAACTCCTGACCTCAAGTGATCCAGCTGCCTTGGCCTCCCAAAGTTTTGGGATTACAGGCGTGAGCCACTGCACCTGGCCCAAAAGACAGTATTTTGTTCCTTTTTATGGCTGAATAGTATTCCATGGTGTAAAAATCTATTGTAATAAAATTTAAAAAAAATCTTGGTTCACCTGTAATCCATTGTACCACTCTATTTGGGAATCTCTGGTAGAAAAGTCTAAAGTTATCTGTAAAATGATAAACTCTTTACAGAGCCTTCATGGGCAAACATGGGACAGTAAAGCCTTGTAGATGACAGTCTTTTCACCACGGAAAGGTGTGCACATGTGTGTGCGTGCATGCCTGCCCATCCCCGATCTGGGGAGGGAAGGGCACAGTCAGGCCTTACCTGTCTTCTTCCTGGGCATGATGCCCGGTGCCTGTCGGGTGCTGGACGTGGGCCAGGTCCTCGCCCTGCCGCTGCTTCCTCTTGTCCCTGATGCTCAGGCAGATGGAAAGCAGCAGCAGCATCACCCCTGCCCCGACCAGCACGTAGGCCACGGAGAAGGTCTTGCTCTTGAGGATGCTACCACCCACCTCAGTCTTGTTGCTGCCCTGAGCTGTTGGCTTCTCAGCCGCACTGAAACCAGGTACCAGGTTCCACATGGCCATGATCACCCCAAGGACCAGCATCCCCAGGCCGATGGCGGTCAGCGCATAGTGCGAGCCATTGGCCTTGGACTGGGCCATCGTGTCAGTGGGAGGAGGGCGAGGCCCGGTTCCAAGAAAGAAAATAAATATACAAAAAGGAGCAGCTGCAACAAAGCCCCCTTAAATGCACCCCACAAAATTGCCCGCCCCACGCTAGAAAAGTATCAGCCAAACTCCGGAGGGATGGTTCTGAGCAATCATGAGGACTCCTGTGTAGATGGCTGCGGCGGAAGAGCCTGCAAGGAAAGCAGAAAGAGCAGAGAGAACGATCAGTTCCAATTCCAGACGCTTTGCGAACGGGGCGGCTCTGCTCTTGAAGGAGTTAAGCCACAGCACTGAGCCCGCTGGCTCTGGCTGGGCCTCGCCTTTGATGCATTCCAGATGTCTTACGTGTGAGGCTGCAAGAAGGGAGGCTGGTCTGCCCACCCCCTACTCCCTGAAAAGGAAAAGCGAGACCTTGCCCTGCAGGAGGCCAGAAAGTTCAGAACTCAGGTCATTAAAACATTGTGTGGAATTTAATGAAATGCAGTAAAATCTCAGCTCTGGATGGAGGCTGCTCTCGGAGAGTGAGGGATGGGATGAATGGGCCACGATTGATAGTTTTAACAGACTCGCCCGGGGGACAGGGCCTCCCAATGGTATGTCCAGGCCAAACAGCCTACCACCCTCTGTCCACCACTCTCAAGGGCTCCCTATTTCCTGCAGGAGAAAATCCAGCTTAGAATGTTGCTGCTCACGGTGGCCTTAGCCTGGGTCCTGCCTCTCCTATTGCATCTCCCAGCCTGCCTTTCTTTGCACATGCCGCCCACCACCCTCCAGAACTCCTCAGTTCTCTGGTCACCCCAGCTCAGGTGCCTCTTTCATGTGCTCCCCAAAGCTTCCAGCAACCACTGTAGAGTCTCTCTCTTCCCATAACCACAGCATCCGTCATCATCTCTAAGCCTGGCACACAGCAGGGACTCAAAAAATGTTTGCAGAGTCAATGCTGGATAAAATGAATAGAGGCCACGAGAAGCCACCCAGCAAGACAAGCTTCTCTGAAGCCACACCGAATTCTCCCTTTGTTAAAAGGGGCAGAGGCCTGCACATTCTTCCTCTTCACTCCTGTGCCCAGCTGGACAAAATAAACCTTCTTTCCACGAAGCAGCTCAGAGACCCTGCACTAAAGGGAACAGCCCGCAGTCCTGGGATTCCACAGCATTTGTCGGTTGCGAGTGAGCCAGAGAAGCAGTCACTTAAGGCTTTAGGTTAGAACATTTTCAAGCACCCAGGAGGAGAAGCTAGCAATGCCCCTGGCTAAACTGCACCCCCCCACCCCCTAGCCCATAAGTTATTCCTGTGACAGGCACTTTTGTAAAACAGTAAAATTTACAAGATGTTTAGCTGGGCAAGGTCCTGTTTACAATTCTGCGTTCTTTCCAATCTCTCCAAAAGGATGGTTGACCAGGCTGCTTGAAATCTGATGTTGCGAAGATATTTTCTTATGAAACTGTGAGCTTATCTGAAATTGACCACTTTGTTAAAAGATACTCTAAAAATATTTGGAATAACATCCTTTATCAGCTTGAAGTCTGTTCCTTCTTTTTTTTTGCTCAACAAATATTTCTTCTCCATCTAACTACTTGCTAAGCAGCATGTTAGGCACTGGAGAAACAGCAACGAGCAAGTTAAGGATTAGCAGAGCTCACGCCTGTAATCTCAGCGCCTTGGGAGGCCGAGGCAGGAGGATCACTTGAGATCGGGAGTTCGAGACCAGCCCGACTAACATGGAGAAACCCTGTCTCTGCTAAAAATACAAAATTAGCCAGGTGTGGTGGCGCAGGAGAATCGCTTGAACTTGGGAGGCAGAGGTTGCAGTGAGCTGAGATCACACCATTGCACTCCAGCTTGGGCAACAAGAGTGAAACTCCGTCTCAAAAAAAAAAAAAAAAAAGGATTAGTAGAGCTTCTAGGCCAGCAGGAAAATGATCTATAGGGAATACCAATAAAGTGGGAGGGAAATATAGGAACTGTGGGATTAGACAGCAGGGTGTCCTAGCTCAGGGCTGTGGGACACAGCAAGTCTATGTGGGAGAGAAGTCCCCCTGGCGTCATTGGGCCTGCACCCTGAATGCACAGCACTGTGTGTGTGCATGTGTGTGAACGCACTGGCTCTGCTCTTGAAGGAGTTAGGAAGAAGCACCAAGGTATACCGGTGCATGAACACATGAGTTGGTGCATGTTTATGCACACATGAGCACATATGCATACCTGTGAGCACCTGTGTACGTATGCATGCATATGGATGGAATATGAACAGGTAGGTGCGGGCATGTGTGTGGTGTGCAGGGCGTTGAATAGGGATCCCACTGCAGACCGCTGCGGTAGGACCGGTTGGGAAGGGCACTGTACACAAGGATACTTGTTTCTTACAGTATCACTCATGGCTGGCCAAAGGAAGGATGGGGGCTCTGACAGCCTTAGGAATGCACTGGTTCTGCCAAATGGATCCGAGACAAGGTCGGATTCGGAGGGTGGAGAAGTGGACGCCGGGGGCTGCTGCTGGAAGCAGGAGTGATGCAACTACCATGTTCTGAGCACCTGCTAAGTGCCCGGCAGGGAGGCCCTGTACCTGGGGCGCTGAGAGTGTGTGTAGCAGACTAGGGATTTGAGCCGCTTTAACCCCCTCCCTGTCTGCTCTTATTAATTCTCCATTCCAGCTTTAGCCTTATGCTGCATGAGAGAAAGACAGGCTCCAGATGCGGGTCATGGGCGGAGATGAAAATGTCAGGATTGGCTGGGTACAGTGCCTCATGCCTGTTATCCCAGCACTTTGCAAGGCTGAGACGGGCGGGTCACGAGGTCAGGAGATCGAGACCAGCTTGGCTAACACGGTGAAACCCCATCTCTACTAAAAAATATATATACATGAAAAATTAGGCAGGCATGGTGGCACGTGCATGTAATCCCATCTACTCGGGAGGCTGAGGCAGGAGAATCAGGTGAACCTGGGAAGCAGAGGTTGCAATGAGCTGAGATCGAGTCATTCCCTCCAGCCTGGGCTACAGAGCGAGACTCCATCTCAAAAAAGCAAAAAAAAAAAAAAAAAAAGGTTAATACATTCTTTTGATCTGATAAACTGTCAGTGATTAAAAACAGGTGATAATACTCAGCGTGGAGAAAGGTGTTGGGATGGCAATTACATGGCATTTTTTTAGATGACAAGTTTTGGCATTTGTAGAACAAAAGTCTCAAAAATGTTTATACCCTTTGGCTCTGTAATTCCAACGTCTAAGAATTATGTACAGAGATATTCATCACAGCTTTACAGTGGTGAGAAGCTAGAAACTACTTCAATAGCCAATAATCCAGATCAGGGTAATAAATTATGGTTCATGCACTTATGAAATTATGGTCTCAAAGCAGCGAATATATTTTTAAATCAAACAACAAGGTTAAAACAACAGTATGTTCAGCTTGATTCTAATTTTATAAAACTTCTCTATACACAGATGAATATATGGGGAAAAGAAGTCTGGATGATTGTACTGACATTAAAATAAAGAGACGACGTATTTATATATGTATACACGTATGTAAAAATCCCAGGGGACACCTTCCAGCCTTGTACCAATGATTGCTTCTGGGAATAAAGGAAACTTGGAAAGCGTACCCTTCGCTCTCTATTTCTCTCTTTTGAATTTTTACAGTCTGACTGTATTGCTGCATGGTAGCATTGCTGAGTGATTAAGAGTGAGCTTGGGACCCAGGCTACCCAGGCTCAGATCCTCACTCTATTCCTTCCCAGCTGTGTGACCCCTGGCAAGTTACTTAACCTCTCTGTGTCTCAGTTTCCACAACTGTAAAATGGAGATAAAACTCTCGGCTGGGTGTGGTGGCTCACGCCTCTAATGCCAGCACTTTGGGAGGTTGAGGTGGGTGGATCATGAGGTCAGGAGATTGAGACCACCCTGGACAACATGGTGAAGGCCCGTCTCTACTAAAATACAAAAAATTAGCTGGCGTGGTTGTGCACATCTGTGGTCCCAGCTACTCGGGAGGCTGAGGCAGGGGAATCACTTGAACCTGGGAGGCGGAGGTTGCAGTGAGCCGAGATCTCGCCACAGCACCGCAGCCTGGCGACAGAACAAAACTCCGTCTCAAAAAAAACCCCGAAAAACAAAACAAAACAAACAAACAAAAACAAAAACACACACAAAACTCTCTAGTACCTACATCATAGGGGAGTTATGACAAATCAACGATATACATAAAGAACCGAGAGCAGTATGTGAGCAGCACAACCGTAAGTTCTTAAACAGACAAAAAATTGTGATTTAATATTAAAGCTTGTATTCTCCGTGGGTAAAATCACCCACAAGGGGCAAGAATTGTTTCCTGGGGATGGGGTGAGAAAAATCTTGGCTATTTACAGTGCTTTGTGGCCCTCCACAGGGCCACAGAACATAAATAGATACACAGTGCATCCTTGGCGTTACATTTTCAAGTACTCCAAAAAGAACGTCTAAAAAGACTTCTCAGGGAGGGCGAGGTGGGGGGAAAGGTTGAGAACCACTTTTTAATGTATCATACTAAGTTTCACAACAGTTGGATTATCTATTATGATGTTTATAGTTATTTTTCCTGTGTGATGGAATTAACGATGATTTTCATTTTCTTTTTCTTCCCGGGAGAATAAGAATTAGAAAACAGAAGTGTCTATCTGTTGCTTTCATAAACTAGTTTTGGTTTTCTGGGTTCGTGGCGGGTCACGTGTGCGACGGTCACATACACTTGTTCTTCAAGTTCAGCCCTCTCTTTGGGGAGGTCAGGAGATTGAGACCATCCTGGACAACACGGTGAAGGCCCGTTGTCTTCAACATGGTGAAGGACCGTAATCTTGATGGGTCCATGGGGAGTGTAGAAACCCGGCTCCCAGAGGGTTGGCTGCTCAGCTGTTTGTCCTGTTTCTGGCTTGTTGACCCTGGACAGCACCCCAGTTATATTTAGCATGATGTTCTTTCCCTTTCAAAAATATGGAAAGAAGCTAATTTTATGCTTAGAGAATTTGGACCACACAGCTTTCGATATGTCCCTAAAACAGAGTAGGCTTGGTGGGCAGTCTGGGGTCCTGGCTTGGCCAAACTCAACCTCTAGAGCCCTATCACTGCTCATGTCTGAGGAGGCCCTAAGGGAGACATGAATGATTTGATATCTGAGTTTTTTTCAAAAAATTATTAACCAGTTAGAAAGGTTCCTACCTGTTGTTACTTGAGGAGACTCAGGGCAGGCATGAAGGCAACTCTTCATGCTAGTCTTGAGTTAAAGATCCACCTATAAAAAACCACAGACATGCAGCCTTCTAAGTAAGCTGTGAGCATTGCAATTGGAGTCACCCGTGGGGGAGGCATATGTTTTCTTTGTTTTTAGGGGGAAAGGGCAGGGGTTGGGGTAGGTGTCTGTGTAAGACAAGTCGTACCAAAAGAAGCCAGAATTCTGTACGAAGAATGTGAGCTGCAGAAGGATAACATGGTAGCTAACATTTATCAAGCCCTCTCACGGTTTTATCTGCCTTAGACACGTGCTCCAGAGAATATCAGAGGAAACACCCTCAGGTCATCTTATAAGGAATGTATAGACCTTGACACCAAAACTAGAAAAGGACAAGGCAGGAGAGGAAAATGACAGGCCAGTCTGACCCAACAGCCCAAACAAAAATCAGCAAATGGAATCCAACCATTTTTTTTTTTTTTTAAAGATGGAGTTTCACTCTGTTGCCCAGGCTGGAGTGCAGTGGTGCAATCTCAGCTCACTGCAACCTCTACCTTCTGGGTTCAAGTGAGTCTCCTGCCTCAGCCTCCCAAGTAGCTGGACTACAGGCGCACACCCCAATGCCTGGCTAATTTTTGTATTTTTAGTAGAGACAGGATTTCACCATGTTGCCCAGGCTGGTCTTGAACTCCTGACCTCAGGAGATCTGCCCACCTCGGCCTCCCAAAGTGCTGGCATTACAGGCGTGGGCACCCAGCCTCAATCATGTTTTTTAAAAAGATAACACATCACAGCCAGCTGAGGTGGCTCATGCCTGTAATCCCAGCACTTTGGGAGGCCGATGCGGGCGGATCACGAGGTCAGGAGATCCAGACTGTCCTGGCCAACATGGTGAAACCCCATCTCAACTAAAAATATAGAAAATTTAGCTGGGCGTGCTGGAGTGCGCTTACAGTCCCAGCTACTCAGGAGGCTGAGGCAGGAGAATCGCTTGAACCCAGAAGGTGGAAGTTGCAGTGAGCCGAGATCACGCCACTGTACTCCAGCCTGGCGACAGGGTGAGACTCCATCTTAAAAGGAAAAGAGATAACATATCACAATGAAGATAGGTTTATCCCAAGAATGCAGGGTTTGGTTCAACATTAGAAATTGGTCCCAGGAGAAAGGATAAATCAGAACACTGTTACTCTGTGGAGTACTATGCAGCAGTGAAGGTGAGTCAGCTGCAGCTGTGTGCACCAGTGAGAATAATCCTGACAAACCTAATGTGGAACAGAAAAGCACCCTGCAGAAGAAAGCACACTGCAGAAGTCCACTTAAAGGAAGTTCAAAACCAGGCAAAACCAAACCATAGGTTGCTCCATTTTTGCACTATGAGGAAGAAATGCAAAGACTATAAACTAAAATTCAGGACAAATTCAGGCTATCTTCTGGCCAGGCGCAGTGGCTCACACCTGTAATGCCAGCACTTTGGGAGGCCAAGGTGGGAGAATCGCTTGAGGTCAGGAGTTCGAGATCAGCCCAGGCACTATAGTGAGACCCCAACTCTACTTACAAATAAATAAATAAATAAAAGCCCAGTGTGTGGCTCACACCTGTAGTCTCAGCTACTTGGGAGGCTGAGGTGGGAGGCTCTGCTTGAGCCTAGGAGGTCAAGGCTGCAGTGAGCCTTGAGCGTGCCACTGCACTATAGCCTGGGTGACAGAATGAGACCCTGTCTCAAAAAAACAGCAAACAAACAAAAACTAACTCCTGGAGAAATAAAGAATGAAGAATGGTAATGGGGAGGGGAACGGCGGAAGGTACATGATGGTTTTACTATAATATTCCTTAAAATTCATGTATATCTTATATGTACTCTTTTAAATGACTGAAATATTTTGTAACAAGAATGTCCAAAAACCCATCAACGTGTTTTTATTACTCTTAGCTTAAAATCCAAACTCCTTGGCCAGGACCCTCAAGCCCCATTGGACGGGGTGAGGCCCTGTCTTGCCGTCACAGCTGGCATCTCCTGCTCACCAGCCCTCAGTGGCTTCCTTTCTGCTCCCCAGCAGCACCAACCCCTTCGTACCACAGGGCCTTGGCACTTGCTATACCTACTGCTTGAAACCACCCTTCCGTCTCTTTCGTCCGGCTACTTATTTATTTTTGTACTGAAAATTAAAAAATATATATATTTTTAGAGACAGGGTCTTTCTTTGTCACCCAGGCTGGAGTGCCGTGGTACGATCATAGCTCACTGCAGCCTCGAACTTCCAGGCTCAAGTGATCCTCCCGCCTCAGACTCCCAAGTACCTGGGACTCCAGGTGCGCACCATCACACCCAGCTAATGTTTTAATTTTTAATCCTTTTGTAGAGATGGGGTCTTACTGTGTTGCCCAGGCTGGTCTTGAACTCCTGGCCTCAAGCAATCCTCCTGCCTTGGCCTTACCAAAGTGCTGGGATTGCAGGCATGAGCCACCATGCTTGGCCATCTGGTTACTTCTCAGTAGAGACCTCTGTTTTTAAGCTGGAATGCCACCTTCTCAGTGAACACCTCTCTGACTACCCAATGGAAATGTCCCCCCCACACAGCTACACTCGGGTCCCCTGCTGAGTTCCTTGCTTTCCTTCCCAGGGATGGCTGATAACACACTGCAGTCAGTACTAATCTCATTTTTGCCTTCTCGCTGGCTCCCTGTCTCCCCAGCTGGAGGATGAACTCTCTGAAACAAGGTTTCTGTCTGTCTTGTCCATGCGTGCTCCAGGCCCCAGCACCGCATGCCAGGAACTACGCAGGTACTGAGTAGATATTTATTTATAGAACAAATACATGAATATCTGGCAAGTTCAAAAGTTTAACCAATATCTCATTCAATGAGGGGAAATTCCCTGTCCAAGGCTGACCCTGAAGGGGAGAGGATTAGAAAGAGCTAACTTTCAGGAAGAGCCGATACCCAAATCTTGTATCTGTATGCAAATAATTTGCTGGCAACATGAGAAAAATGTGCAGAATACATGTGGTTTCCATTGTGACCTGAGAAAGTGTCTGTATTAGAACTCTCTGGTGGGGCTGGAGATTTCAGCGGCTGCCTGATATTCGCAGGTGGAAGTCAGCCGGAGAGCGTGGGAGCCTTTAGCCTTATCCCTCCATCCTGGGCAGAGGCTCTTTCCACTCCTGTGCACGCCCTTGGCCAACCAGAGCCGGCGGGGAGGGACCGTGCTGTGGGTGTGGAGGAGTGGGGGCCGGGGAGGTAGACCCAGCTCCAGGCATCAGTGTGGCTGAGACCTGAGTGGGGCCATCACAGCCAGGCACATCTGGATTGACTCTCCGTGAACTTGAACGTGAAGACAATGACTGAAATAAGATGGCACAATGGAAAGCAGTGCTGCCCGTGCTGAACAGATACAGGGCCCAAGCATTGATGGCTGGGCCTTCCTGCTGAATTGCAGAAACTCTCCAGGACATACTTGAGAAACTGGGAATTGGATGTAGACCCTCACGTGGCCACTGTGCTCTGTGCTGCAGCCCTGGAAGGTGCAGTGGCAGAAGCGCCCAGCCCAGTTGGCTTTAGTGGGATGAGGTCTTGCCAGTTGGAGGCAGCTGGCAGTGCTACCAACCCCCGTGACAAAGGGGCTCCTTGAGCATTCTCCCTGCACCGACCTCTTCCTGCCAAGCTGCATAATTGGGAAAGGGATCCCAGGTTCCACCGGGCTGCGCTACATTCTCATCACAAAGGAGGAATTCAGTGGGGCTCTCTGGGCCAAGTTTCAGCCCACAATCACTTTTGTCACAAGTTCCAGTCCCATGCAGTCGGGGCAGGAAGAGAGGCACTGAGCGCCTGCTCCTGTCCCGCCTGGGAGGGAGTTTCAGGCCACCTCCCCAAGGACCAAGGTCAAAGGGTGTCAGGTTCCTGTTTCAACAGAGCGCAAGGAGTCTTTTAGACTGTGCACTCAGGAAAAACAAAAAGCAATGTGCAAATGAGGTATAAAGGCCGGGGAGCGGGGAGGAGGGCTGCCCAGCTGCAGAGAGCTGGTGGGAAAAAGAAGAAAGGCTGCTAAGTAATACACAAGGCAGGGTAAGAATAATAACGGTAACAATAATAGTCCCCGCAGCAGCTGGCGTGAAAGCAGCAGCAGCTGATCCTCAGCATGAATCAGGCGCATTTCTAAACTCACCCGATCCTCACGGCCACCCTTCAAGGAATGATCCTTCCCACCATCTCAGAGTCTCAGACAGGGTAAGTAATTTGCCCTGAGCCACACAGCCAGTAAGCGGCAGTCGACTCATAATGAAATCCAGCTGACTGTAAAGCCCACCTGCGCCTGTACTGTGCGGGTTCCCACAAAGCTGAGTCCCTGGGGGCCACTTTCTGGGCAAGGCACCCAGGTTTCCAGAGGTGCTTCAGGACAGAAGTGCAAGGGGGTGACAGGCAAATGTTTTTCTCCTTTCTTTCTTTTCTTTCATTCTTTTTCTTTCTCCTTCTCTTTCTCTTTTTCTTTCTTTCTTTTTCTTTCTCTTTCTTTCCTCTCTTTCTTTTTCTTTTTTTTTTTGACAGGGTCTCACTCTGTCACCCAGGCTGGAGTGGCATGATCTTGGCTTACTGCACCCTTGACCTCCCAGGCTGAAGCAATCCTCCCACCTCAGCCCCCAAGGAGCCAGGACTACAGGCACACACCACCATGTTTGGCTAATTTGTGTGTCTTTTGTAGAGAAAGGGTCTCGCTCTGTTGCCCAGGCTGGTCTTGATTTCCTGGCCTCAAGCGATCTGCCTGCCTCAGCCTCCCAAAGTTCTAGGATTACCAGGCATGAACCACTGGACTTGAACCCTTCTTTTAAAATGACTTGTTGAAGATTTTGATTTAAACAATTCCCGGTCCCCTCCTGTGGGCCAGAGGCTTTGGGAGATACAGAGATTTGTGAGACAGACCTTTACAATCCAGCCGGAAAACAGGTGATTCTCCCTAACGGAAGGGAAGTCAACATCAGAGAAAGAGGCAGTGTGTGTTGAACGCCGATTCTGTGCCAGGCCCTCTGGGGAGCTCTTTACGTGCATAATTGTTTAATAGTTATTTGTTCTATTTTATAGATAAGGACACAGGTTCCAAGAGGTAAAGTAATTTATCTAATGTCACACAGCGAGTGCACGGCAGGGGTAGGGTGTACCTGACTCTAAAACCCATGCTTTTTTTTTTTTTTTTTTTTTTTTTTTGAGACGGAGTTTCACTCTGTCACCAGGCTGGAGTGCAGTGATGCAATCTCAGCTCACTGCAACCTCTGCCTATCAGGTTCAAGTGATTCCCCTGCCTCACTTCCTGAGTAGCTGGGATTACAGGCGCAGGCCACCACACCCAGCTAATTTTTGTATTTTTAGTAGAGATAGGGTTTCATCACGTTGGCTAGGATGGTCTTGATCTCTTGACCTTGTGATCTGCCCGCCTTGGCCTCCCAAAGTGCTGGGATTACAGGCATGTGCCACTGCGCCCAGCCTAAAACTCATGCTTTTAAACACCAAGTAGCACTGTGAAATGGAGCATATCTGAAGAGCTTCTGAAAAGAGTGACGGATTCAATTTGAGGAGGGGAGGGAGAAGGAAGATCCACACGCAGCACTTCGGGGTCTTGAGGCCTCTGTGACCTTCCTCTGGGTGGAATTTGGGGGTAAGAAATCAGGGTACTCCAGAGTGAGGGCTCAGCCTCAGTAATCCCACCGCAGTGGGAAAGTGGGTATCTTCCAGAGTATGTCATGGCTGGCAGAGAAAAGAGGCAGCTTCCCTCCCTGACTCCAAACACAAGATGTCAGTGAATTTTATGAACCCTGACATCACCACGGTCCTTGCTAATCCTAGTGAGTGTTGGAGAAATTAAGGAAGACAAGTTCATCCTGAAGACTCCAGGGACCAGAAGCAGAAGCAGCGAGTTCATGAACAGCACATCTTTTCTTGAGGAGCCTGACATAGTGTCTTTCTCTAAGCAAGTGGCTGGGGTGCAACCTCATTTAGAAGGCTGGCACGGAGGACCCAGTCACATTCAGTATTTCTTGGGAAATGTGACATCTCTGTGTCTCCTTCTGCCAGGATAGCACTGAGGGATCGAGACCTCCTGTCCTCGTCAGCCCGATGTTGAGTCTGGCGCCTCGAACCTTCTCCAGGCTCTGGCCATGACATCAGTAGCCCCCCGACCCTGGCAAACAAGGCTAAGCACAGGCTCTGACCACCAGTCAGCCCCCAGCCCCCCAACCCCCAGCACATAGTTAGGGCACTGATACACCAAGTGCTTTACACAATTTAGTTCGTTTGTCCCATCCAACAATCATATAAGGGGGTAGTGTCATCCCCATCTCCATCCATTTCATCAAGGAATACTCTGAGGCACAGAGCGGTGTGCCCAAAGTCTCAGCTTAGTGAGTGGCAGCCCCCCTCCACAAAACCCCCTTGTCTAGGCCATCCTCATCCATAGGGCAGCAGAAAAACCAGCCTTTCCGCCAAGGCGGGGCAGAGTTTCCATCAATGAGGTCTCACTCTCTCACCCAGGCTGGAGTGCAGTGGCATGATCTCGGCTCACTGCACCTTCCGCCTTCCAGGTTCAAGCGATTCTCCTGCCTCAGCCTCCTGAGTAGCTGGGATTACAGGTGTGTCCTACCACGCCCGGCTTATTTTTGTATTTTTAGTAGAGATGGGGTTTCACCATGTTGGCCAGGCTGGTCTTGAACTCCTGACCTCAGGTGATCCATGCTGGGATTACAGGCATGAGCCACCGCACCCAGCCTAGGCAGACAACTTTGGAGGCTTAGTCCTGGAATCTGAAGAGTGGGAGGACCGGGGGCCTGGAAGAGAAGCTGGAGCCCGTCCCGTGTTACTGCCTCTGGTCAGTGTTCCTGGTGGCCAGCCAGGCTTGTGTCAACCTCGGTGCCATCTGGACACAGCATTTGTCCTTGTGTGGCAGGCAGTTCTGGACACTGACTGGATTCATTTGGTTTGTCTTCCCCAAGGGGCATTTAGCAGCAAAAAAGCAGAGAAGGGCAGAAATGAGA